AAAGGCAGGGGAGAGGGGAGCAAGCAAGACTTTCCCCTTTCCATGACTAGAAATGGGAATTATTAGTCTGGCTGATCTGCCCATGGAACTGCAGGCCTAATAGCATCTTTATTGGGCCAAAACATCCAGCAATCACAGCTTTTAACACACTGGTAAAATTTACAAAGGATCTAAAATGGACTATATATTGACTATACATATATACGGACTGTAAATCCTATGATAAGAGAAGTAAACATGCTGCTCATGCAGTCCAGATAATTTATTGCCTCTTACATAAAGACAAAATATTAAATAAATCAAACAATAATGAGAAGTGAAACCAAAAGGAGGGTCTCCCCCAAAACTTTTCTCCTGTTAACATCCACTGTTTTGCTCTCCAAAGATTTGCAGAAACTTTTCTGCTAGCCTGCCTTCACTGTGAGTCAAGATCAGAGAGCTGAGCCAAAGCGGGATTAAGATGTGAATCTTTGTTCTCTGGAGTGCTCTGTGGAACAAAATCACAGTATCATTAAGGCTTACAGCGTTTTATGAATGGGAAAAGGGGAGAGAGTCTGGGTTTTTACTATGCTGGGATTAATTTAAACTTCAATAGTATCAAATCTTCCAATGTGCAGAGCAGTAATGAAATGTATTTCTCCTATTTTCTTCACTCTGTGCCAGTCTTCCCCATTCGCTACTTATAACGGGACCACACACAGGATTGAAGATGCTACAAATCTAGTTGCAATCTGGATTGAATTCAGAGTGAAGTAAAAAATCGTGGAGGGTGCAGCTGAGCAGGCTTTCTCCAGCACAGTTTAACTAGATGTTTTGCTTGAATATTTACAGTGCTATTAATGCCTATTGTTCATGAAGATTTTATCCAGTATTTGAAGTTACTGAGAATTTATGGCCCTTGGCATAGTTTTTAGTATGCTAGAAAATAAAAAAGAAATTAAAGAGTTGACCATAAACAATGAAAATTGCATATAGGTTTGCACTGTGAAGATGACAGACATGATTACAAGGACCTAACTATCAGTTCATTTAGAAATGATCTGTCTGAGCTTATTTTTCATGTGAGCTCGTTTATCACTGAAATAGTTGCTAGGACACTATACTTCGTAATTTGAAACTTGCTCTAGGAAAGAGCAATTGTGAATAGGTTTTTAAACATATTTTCTTCCTGGCAGCCGCGATATAGTGAAATTATTGATGCAAAATGGTTTTTATTTTATCAAGTCCTCATCTTACAAGCACTTATATCTGGACTTAACTTTATTCAGAGTTGCAGAACGATTCATGTTAGATCTCTGAGTGAAGTTAAGCATGCATAAAATGGATCTATTCAGCTGGCCTTAAATTCCTGCTAACTTTCTGTGCCTAATATTTTCTTCTTGGTTGGCTCCTGGCAAATATCTGTCCAGGTCACTACTTAGACCATGGAAATCATTCTTCAGTGGTCACTAGCTTTCACCGCTGAACAAACACAGAGACTTGTGTAAAATGGAAGCTGTGTGAATATGAGCTAGATTGCTTAAAACCCCAGTGAGATGATGAATGGTGCACATTACATGCCTGCATGGCATATTAGCTAAGTCCTTTCAAATCCTAGTCCCTGGAAATTTTTAGCAAGTCTTGTGACTTTCTTCTCACCTTTTCTGTGTCAGGGTATCTTTAAACATTTACAGTCTATTCCAGATGATGCAGATGGAACTGGGATTCTGGCTGCGAGCACTGGAGATCACTCTTGACAGACATGGCTGGTTGGTTTTGGCAGAAGCAATCCCTGCAGGACCTTGCCTCACGCAGAGCAGGGCAGCAGCTGGCTGCTGTAGGGAGCATCCAGGAAAGCAGCCCTGAGTGAGTAGAAGGAGTAGGGAGAGGTAAGCAGGCTAGAGAGCCCTTAATTCCACACAGTGGGAGCAGCCACTGGAAGGAACAGGCCTGGGAATCCCAAATAGGAAACAAACACTAGATTTGTGTTGTATGCAGAAAGAGGAGATTTGCAGCTTTCTGCTAAAATTTCTGAAATATGTATATATACCTGCAAGTATAAATACTTAGCTGGATATTTCTGATCTTCCAGGTAATTGTGTTCTGCAGTTATTTGAACATTATGCACTGAAGACTCATGAGTTTGGGACCCAGGAGGCCTGACTCTTTATCTACTTATATCCTTTTTGTAAGTGACTAGCTAATGCCTGGGGAATTAGTCCCTGTTTGTAATAGCCTTGGCTTAATTTCTGAAGTGTCAGAATGTGACCAGATAAGTCACTAGATATGTAAGCCCAGAGATGTGGTGGAATCCTGATTCAAAAGATGACAGGAATCATGTTCATTGCACTCCAGCTGTGATTGAGAAAAGTATTTACAGCTAAAGAAATGTGCATTACATGCTATTGTCGTGACAAGAAACCACAAAACATAGGGAAAAAGCCAGCTTACTCCTTGGAACATCTGGGAAAAGGAGATGAACAGAAGGCTGATCCACAGGAGAATACAGGAGGCAGTGATCTGCCTGCCCTGGATGATATCCCTTCACCTCTGTTTTTGCAGTATTGGTCTTGGTACAGCAAATGAGTAAAAGTTGTCAGCTTGTCCTGAAGACTTGGGGCCCATGAGTGATCTTGGGGCTGCAGGAACAATGAGTTGGCTCTGAGACACTGGGGAAAATGTGAGGATGAAGACCCCACTTATGAGCTTGAAAGGGGAAAATGATGTTGGGCTGGAGGGAGAGCATGGTTACTTGCTGTGCTGAAGATAACTGAGGTAGCAGGGGGTGAGGACAGAAAGGATTACTTTGTTCTAGTGTGGGACTCTAGCAAGGGGGTACGATCTCCACATCATGAAGCAACCATTAATCCAAATCTTTATAAACTGGTTTTAATCCAGTCTTTTAGCAATAGCACGTAAAGCTCTGACTAAAATCCCCTCACTAAGAATTTGTGGGAAGTTGACAACCATGCAAATGCCACCCACACAGCTGGTGGTTGTGGGCCCAGAAATCAGGACATGCCAAAATCCACGGGCAACCTCTTAAAACAATAAAGCAATTCTACCACGCTCTCCTCCTCTGCTGATGGGGTTACCGTGGCTCCCAGGCTAGCTGTAGTGTCTGCAATCCTTTGAATGTACCAGCTCCCTGGGTACCCCTCCCCATTGTATGGCATAGACCTACCCTGAAGCTAGCTGCAGGGAACCCGTGGTTTTCTGACGTCCACTAGCCAGATTTGTTGGCTCGCCAGAGGCTTTGCAGCACAGAGAGGCTGGAGCAGGGCCCAAGGATGTGAGCTGGGATGCTGGGAAGGAGGGAGCATGAGCAACATGAGCAGAGATGGGAGTTTCTGTCTGGATGGCAAGCATCTATCACGGGAGGGTACAGGCAAGTTTTGTACTCCTTTCCTGCTCAGGATAACCCAGGAGTCTAATTTAGACAACTACAGCCCCAGACAGAAAATTAAAATGCACTGCATGTGACAGTTGAGGTTCTGTGCGAGGTGTTGAATGACTTCTATGGCATTTTTCTGTATGTGCAAATTGATGGGTTCAGTATGGAAAACAAAAAAAGGATTTGAAAGCTGAATAAACACCAACACTTCAAACAGATATATACTCTACTCTTCATTGCTGTATATAGGCCTCTAACTTACTAATGCTGCTGCTGTTGAATTGTGTAGATTGGCTCAAAGTTATCATAACAACGCTTATTTCTTATATATGAGGCAGTGTAGGAAGAACTCTTTCTTTTCAAAAATAACTAAGGATGGAGGATAAAACAGATGACTTGTATACAGACATTTTTAGCTAAAAGAACTTGATTATATGAGAAGTTTAGGTCTATAAAGATAACCAAGTTCCTCAACTGTTCCATCTGTCTCGTCCCTGTCCTGTGTCAGCAGGGGGAAGTAGTAACTAAGACCTTCTGTGCTTAGATACTAAGTGCTTTCATTGGAGTATTTTTGTCCGCCGTCCTTTCTTTCCCTCTTTGACATCAGTAAGACGTTTTATTTATACACTGCTATGAGATATTATATCTACTATGGAAAATTACTGACAACTGCTTTGTCAGTGACGCTTATGTCCAAGTAAATCTGCCTCCTTTTACAACATTTTTATTGATCTGGATAAAAATATTGCAGGTGCTGCTCAGATTTCTACTGCCTGCAAGATATTAATATTGTTTCAATTAGCCTGATTGCTGTAACAGCAGTTTTCTAAAAATTGCAGTGATGGTGGCTTCGAGGCATGCAGCGTGAGCAAGGACACCTCTTGTTCCCCATTCAGATCTCAGGCTGTCTCTCCAAACCCCGTGCCTGCTCAGAGCAGAACTACTTTAGCCCCACCCTCTGAGCAGTCCAGCCTTTATTTATATGAAATCTGTGGTCCAACTGGCTTCAGATGGCGTGTGTATGTGCGTGTGCCTGCCTTCTGAGCGTGTGAGACGAGCTGGGATCATGAGCCAGGGTTTTTCCAAGTGGTTTTAATCAGCAGCCCATTAGAGGAGAACGGAAAACTTCTAACAGGATAAGAACCAAGTAAGTAAACCTAACTTTGAACTCACAATCTGGAGAAAACAAATGCAAACGAAAATCTTCATAGTCTGTCAGTTTTCAGATAAATGATCACTTTTAGAAAGCTGTGCATGCTGACAGGAAGGAGGCAATTTAAAAGGACTGGAATGAAGGAAACTGTAAAAACAAAGTGGGAATTGAGAATGCAAGAGAGAAAAAAACAGCAAACGATTGTTCACGAAGTTGGTACACTCTCTTACTCTTTTCAGCTGTGGACAGGACGTGTTAAGCTTTAACTTCTTGCTTTCTTGGATACTATTGTCTGGCTGAGTAGTTCCTTCTGCAACGGGGGTGAAGATTTCTGCTCCTCACCTGTCTGCCGGCAGGTCTGTTCTCCCGAGAGCGCGGTGTGGACGAGCTCGCTACAGCCCCTTACAGAACGCCCCATGGCACGCTGCTGTTTGCCGCTGCTCACTTCTTGTTTTTTCACAGGTTGTTCCCGTACCCCCATGGGAGGGTACTTCCCAAGCCTCTGCTCCTCTGGAACCCGTGACTTCTTGCCAGGCACCAAGAAAGCGCTCAGCAGCAGAAATGGGGAAAACTCTCACTAGGTTTGGGTGAAGTGTGCCTTTGACTTTTGCTACCCTGGCAAGACGTGGCTACTGGGACTGCATCTGCAATGTGGCAAAGGGTGAAGTGAGGACGGCAAAAAGGCCATGGTTTGTGGGCAAGTCCCCAGGTGCCGCAGGCTTTGTCGCCCTCGTCCTTTCCTTCTGGCCTTAGTGGTGGCCATCTGTCTGTTCTGCCAGACCCTGACTCCTCTCATGACCAGCAGCATCCTTTCAGCGGTTGTTAATGGGATTGCACCCAACAAACTGACTAAAACACAGCAAGGAAGATACAAGGAGGTCTCCCCAAGCAACACTCACTGCTTCCTCCCTGGCAGTAATTCACAGACAGTGAAAAAGGTAAGTCAGCTGGAGCAGAGTGCTGAGCAATAATTAGCAAAGCGAGGGATAGCGAGTCTGGCAGGATCATCTGAGTCCAGCTAAAATTAGCCTAAGCTTGGAAGTCTGAGATCTGTGTACAAACAAATGGGTGATCTAATGACAGCGGCATATGCGCAAGAACATCTCCATTGCCAGCCCTTCAGTGTGGTGCTACTAACACAGGAATCCTGACGTCTTCGACTGAAACATGGCATTGCTCTGTGACTCCAGGGAGATTTCAGTTTGCTGCACAGACCGTATTTTATTTTGGCTTTAGGAATCGGGTTAGAGGCTTTACAGTACAGGCGCATAAATCAGGAGCCCATGGGGTTTCATGAAAGTGACTGAGGCTGTTAATTAGCACCGGGACTGCAGCTGCTCTGTGTTAAAGTTATCTGCTGGTCAGTTTTGAACTTTAATGGGATTCTGCTGAGAAGCTGAATTTAGCTGCATTTGAGAAATAAAAAAAGGGCTTTTCATATTTTCAAATCACACTATTTACTTTGGAATCTTTGTCCCACAAATTTTACTTTGTCCTTAGGTTACCTGACCTCATGTTTATTTTGTATAGGGTTCCTAGAATGGGTGTTAAAACCTAACAAATGCAGACACTGTTATTTTAGTTGGAAAATGTGGTTTGTTAAATGGTCCAGACTGAGGTAGTTATTTTTACTCTGGAATCTGTGATCAGCACTAGCACAAATGTTTCAGGTTTTCTTCAATCCTATAGAGGGCTGCTAATAGTGCAGCAGATATCTCACGGTGAAATTATCATTATGCTGGCATTTTATATACGACTATATCAGGACTAAAAACATTAATCTGTGACTTCACAGATTATGGACAGCATCCACATAAAGCAGTTCAAATAAAAAAAAATAAATTTAGAAGGCTGCTGCTTTGATTAGACAGGGTTCACAGTCTGAAAGGTCAGCAATATTGATTTTAGGAGAGCAGTTGTAAAGTGCATCTTCTGCAACAATCAAAAACAGATATGTGAAATAACTTTGGCATGGACTCTTTAACCTTAAGTCGTAAAAGATGGATTTTTTTTTTTTTCTTGTGAAGGTCAGAGAGATTGATCTTATGAGTCGCAGAAATCTACTCCATGCTGCATTTGTCATAATTTTATATTTTAATGACCTTTTAGTACACTAGGTACCCAGATTTGGATTTGTTCAACAATGTGACACGAAGAATTACAATTTAAAGGGAAGTAAGCACAACTGACAGATGCGAGTCGCATTGTGTTACAGCTATTGCTATTGTAACGGCAAAGAACATTTCCTATCTTACCTTGGGCTACCTAAAGTCTGTAAGAACTGGCAAAGTTTTCTAGTATGCTGTTTGGCTGAAAATATCTGTAATTTCTTCTTTCCCAATTTGCCTGAGAAAAATGCAGATTGACATTGAACTTGGTGTGCTGGCTGTTTGAAATGAGAACGAAGTTTATGTTTTTACAACATGCTGTACTTACTGCCCTCCAGCATACATGGTTGGATGTCACTATCACACTCACATGCTGAACCTATAGTACAGATGTAAATGCATATGTTAACCCTTATAGGTGTGTTTTCCAGGGCTGTGCTACTCTAACACATTCCTCTTCAAGTTTTGAAGACCACCCATAGCTGGCTCCCTATTTGTCTTGAAAGTTTTCTCTAGAGCATGATGAACAAAATGTCTTGCACATGTTGGGATGTTACTCTAAGTTGCTCTCTATTTCCAGAGAATACTCTGCTGGTTGTGTGGGCTGAATAATAATCTCAGGGAACAGAAAAGACAAACATCTCCAAAAATCTCTACCGCTTTGCTTTGAAAGTGTGTTCTTGAACTGTGTGTTTTCACCCACTGCTTACTCAGATAGCTGAACTGTTATCTTGCTTGATTTTATTGGGTACCCAGTAACATCTAAGACAGAAGTCATGGTTGAAACTTTACACTGTTTTATTTACAGTCATGTGCCCACCCACAATAGCTAGTTTGGAAACAAGTTTTCATTACAGCTCTGGTTTAAATCTTCATGTATGAATCTGGAAAAATACTTTAAAATATAGTCCAAATTATTCACCTTTTTAATTAACTAGTCACATATGTATTCTTATTCTATAAATAGTCCAGCAAGCAAATTTATTAAAAAGAATCTATTGTACAGTTAAACAGTGACTTAAAGAAAACACTACGACATGTCTTATGAAATCAAAGTTCATGAATAAGTTTTAAGGAAAAGAAGATCCTGCTGGAGATAATATTCTTTAGATAACACCCAATGTTTCTGGGTTTTGAGATCTGTCACGCTGCAGAATCTCTTCTGACTGGGTAGGGGCAGGTTTAATTCTTGCTTCCTTCAGAGAAGCAATCAGTATTGTGTTGAGCTTGCTGTGAGAATTTGGTTATGATTGTTATTGCATGAGCAAAATCCCCTTCCAAAGTCTGATAATTTCTCTATTCAGAGTATGCATAGCACTACGTGCCTCAAAAAAAAAAAAAAAAAAGCTGCCACCTTTTATGAGCCGGTGGGGGAAGCGGAGGGAGAGATCTGAGGAAAAGTGCAGCTTTGCCACTGCACCTCTGATCTCAAAATAGGTCTCATTTTGGAAAATTTCAGACAAATGCGGAAAAAGCATGGGGCTAGAAATTGCCAATTTGATCTGTAACTACATCCAAGATGCCCTGGGATGGAGCCATTACTGTCAGGCACATAGTGCAAGCTGTCTTTTTTAAATTGCAAAAATGCAGATTTCATTCATAGCCTGGAAAACCTGACAGACCTCATAATACTTCTCTCAGGTATCACATGTTACAGGAGTTTTAAAAGCTGCTGGAGAGCTGGTCCTGTAGCCTTATTTTCACATGAACAGAGGTCAACATTTTCTAGTATAAAATTAAACATTAATATCTGTAGCATGAAAAAATAGAAGGCTTATTTATGAATCTCCAACATTAAAGGCATTAGAGGGAGATATCATATCCAGCAGCAGGCTGTCTTCAGGTTCAGCCAGGCACGCTTACCTTCTGCATGATGAAATACTTGCGAATATATATATATACATAGTAAGGAGAAGAGTTGGTGCTGTAGCATCAAAACTGAAATAGGTATCAACAAAAAAACTCCATACAAGCCCTATGTGTAGGTTTGCCTGGCGTGGTATTGTGCCAGAAATACCTTTGGTACCAGCCAGATGTAAAACTGTTACACTCATCTTAAGTAATTTAGCTCTGCTTCTCAGCCAGTTCTGAGAAGAGCTAACTAGCTGGTTACGCAGTGTTTCCACTCTCTGAATTAATTCAGCCAAAGCCAACTTAGGTATCTCTGCACAGCAGCGCGTTTTGCCCAGGTAGACATAGTACCTCTGCTGTTGGGAGGAGGCAGTGAGACGGTATTGCTGATGTGGTAGGCGCTGTTTCACCATACTAGCTCTCTAACCATGGCCAATGTATAAAAAAAAATAGATTTTAAATTTTTAAGATGCGTCTTGAGGGATATCCATTATTTCATGGATACTCACAAGAGCATTGCTTCACATCCCCTGGCCATTTAAGGCCAGCTGAGAAAAAGAAAATAAAAAAGACATGCAGCTGATTATATGAGAATTTAATGAGGGCAAGGCTGGCATCTTAATAAATGAAATATAACAGGTATGGTGAAAAAATCTGTCTTCATTTTCAAGGCCCTCAACCTGCCACTTACGTTTGGTGTAAAAGAGATATATCTCCAAGAGGAGCTATAATGAGGTGAGCAAACAGGAGGAATGAGAAATGTTTTTTTATGGCTTCATTCTGAACAAATAGGATAGGATATAATTTACTGGGAGTGGACAGTATGAAAGATGCAAGCTAAGGACAGCTTGATGTGGCCATATCTCAGAGACGCTATGTAGAAAAAGAAAAAAAAAAAAAAAGAGAAACATCATGTTTTAGTCCTAACCAAGATCTAGAGGAAGATCCAGTTGAACGTCTTGCATAGGTTACAGGTCGAGGTACCTATATTTGAAAATTGGGGCTGAAATTACTGAAAAGCTGAGAAATTATTACTAGAACTTTAGAACTCTGGACATCCAGAGTAGAATTGTCCTCCGTTTACCTGAGTGCTCCACTCTATCTTGTCAGAGCCAGAAGGCTGGACTTCATAGTCAATGGAAATAACTGCCTCTAATGCAAAATTCATCATGACTTAATGCAGACACTTAAAACAAATCTGATGAACTTCACCCTCCAAAGGCATATATCTGGTTTTTTTTTCCTACTGATTTTTTGGATGGAATGTACTTGCTTCAGTCAGAATAAGCAGGGAAGGAGGGGGGCAGGAGAGGAGCATCATGGAAGAAAGCATGGGGAAAGGAGACACTGGCTGGGGCAGATGTGGGAGGCAGAGCAGGGAACTATGGCTGCAAAATAATAGTATCCTCAGAAGCCACATAAAAGGTTGTGCACAGAGGGGGCTGGGTTTGTGCTGGGGAAGAGACAGCGAGATGGGAATGGAAATTGAAAGAAAAGACAAAGCTAGTGGGAACTTTTGAAATTTAAATATGTGAAAAAGGCTAAATGAAGCTGGATGATAGCATAAGAAGGGGTGATTTTTGCTATTATGCAGAAATGGAGTGTAGTGAGAGCTCTCGATAGAAAAGATTACATTATGCATAATAAGGTTTGATACATTTTTAAAGTAAATTTAATCTTAAAAAGGATATTTCTTTTATAGAATACAGTAGGGGGATGATAACTCTTTTCTCCTCACAAAAGAACAAAGAACTTTGCTAGTACGAAACCTCTGTTAATAGAAAGCAATCGACAGATGGTATGGTATCAGCAACTGGTTTCCTTGGAATGATACCACATTCACATTGCACCCTATGAAAGCAGGACATTTTTTTCCCCCTTTTCAATGTAAAATGCAAAAGGCACTGAGGAAACAGCTATTTTTACTGCGCAGATAGCTAGAGATATTTTGGTGATAAAGGGCAAGGCTATTGTGGTAG